AAGAAAACACCCAAACAAGAAGGCATGCGAGTCGGTAAACAGGAAAATACACAGAGGAAGGCACCTGGCAAGTGCACAGTGCCTTCAGGGACACGGGACACACTCCGGCTCCCGCTGTGTTGTTTCCTATTGACACACAGCGTTTCCTTACTTTCGGATATCCTGTGTGTGTGTGTGTGTGTGTGTATGTATAAGTGTGTAGGTGAGTCTGTCATTGTGTCAGTTTGTTTGTTCAACGATATCTATAATTGGTATCATTAATTGCACTCAAGAATTTGCTCCTTTTTAATTACAAAGGATATTACTGTATGTGGAGGAATGCCATTTACTTGCTAATCTCCATGGATGACCAAGAGACCAGACACAAACATGTGAGCTCCCAGAGCACTTACCGACATTATGGGGCTAAATTAATTCAGCTCGATTCAAAGTGGATATTCTACTTTTCCCCAAATCCCTAATCATGGGTAGGTTTTAAGTAAATTAAGAACAGCAGGTAGGAAGCAAATGAGGAACCATTTAATGGGAAATCATTGGAAACATTTGCTGACTGCAAGCTTATTGAGCCACCAATAATGCATTAAGTGGCTATAATCAATATTGGAATAATAACAATGGATTTAATGACTGTGTTAAATGTAAAAGGGGTAACTGATTGTGATGAACCCACAGAGAGTTAGCCCTCAACTCCACAGTGTCTCTCAGCTCTGTGGAACCTTTGAGAGTCTTTCTGCGGTCTTGCAGAACAAAGATTTTATATTTTGTGTTACTCTCCACTATCATCTACATCATTTAGGCACTAGCATGCAGACGTTTCCCCCCCAAAAATGTATAAACCAACATTGCAGTACCTGCCCAGTACAAACATTTGACCGCCGAAGTAAGTGACAACCTGGTGACCAAAGTGATGTTTGTATTTCTTTAAACCAATCACAATCGTCACAAATGGCCATTGCCAAATAACCCAGATAGCTGAAGGGGGGAAGAATGTTTGATGAAATCTAGGTAGCCAATGATAGACCTAAGATTACTTCACAAGACCAGAGATAAGACAGCTCTGTGCGGATGTTGCAGATGTATTCCTATGGAGCAAGCGTTGGTGCCCAACTTGGTCCAGTGTGGTGCACCTCCTAGTCGGGCGAAATTGTCGCCGAGTGCTTACTCAAGATGAACCATCAATCCCCAATTGCCGTTGACCTTTAGACGCGTATGTTACTATAAAAATGTAACTTAAATAGCTGTTTTCACCGAAGGCTCTGTGCCCTACCTCGAAGGCAGCTTTACACCTGTAGTCTACATCCTTTGAGTCAGACTAGAATGAGTCCACAGCCATGCTTACGGCTCTGTGAGTCTGATGCAAAGTTCCTGCCAATAGTATATTTAAAAATAGATGAAATCAATTTAAAAAGAACCTCATTCTTTGCGTTGCTTTAGAGGAAAAGTCAGGGAAACACCAAAGTGAGAAGAGTAGGTCGTCAGGGAACAAAAAAATGTCTGCACAAAATCTGGTGACAATAAATCAAAAACATTTTAGGATATCAAACTGAAAATGTTTAATTGTAGATTGAGGGAAACTCAGGGGATTACCTGTTGTAGGAATTCATCTTTCTGGGACCATGACTGTGCACTAACAAAGCCAGCCCTAGAGCCATGTCTCTAAAATGTTGTTATTACAGGTTTGAATTTATATATATTATTTGCAGGGCATTAAATACTTGGCTTAACCAAACGGAAAGCCAGGGATCTTCAAGTTTCCCATATGGCTGCAGAAGCATATATCAAGAGCTTTGGTTCGACTTACGACTTAGAGTATTGCTCTGCTCGTGTCCGCACATTCAGGAGCTCATAATAGGCTTGTGAAGGGATTAACGTGGTGCCTAACTTGACCTGCTGACCCTTCAGAAGAAGGCCTCCGCACTACCGCTAACAGAGAGCAGCTGAAGAAAAAAAGGGTATCCACCTCTCAGTTGCAGGGGCTTTTTGCCTTGTCTCCACAAATTCCTCTTCCCCTCTGACACTTGTAAACTGCTCCACCATGGCAGGCTCTGACCCCCATTACAAAGGGAGAACTGCATGTCAAACTTGGCCAGTCAAGTTGGCCCATTATATGCACTGGTTGGGGGTTAAGCTGTGCTCCGGAAAACATTGAAACAGAGCTGAGGCTGCTGTCACAGGGAGCTTTAAGCCGCTGAGCTGCTATTTTGATGCAGATACGGCATATTTCAAAAAGCAAGGGAAGACTTGAGATGGAAAAACAAAGTAAATCCTTGTTTTTCTACTTTTTATAATGTATTTTAAATCCCATTGTTAAGCTGCTATGTAACAAGAAAAAGATTATGAGGAGACAAGCTTACAGGAAAAGCCATAACACCTCTGAGTGAGGATGAAATGTTAATATCAGTGATGAGTCACGTTTTTATAGGTAAGAAAACACTCTTGTGTTTTATTTCTGAGACAGAAAAAGAACAAAAATATTCACGTGTTGAATGTTTAATATGAATATGAATGCCACAAATCATTCTATCAACGAAAACTCTCATACTGGATGACATATACTGCACACCATTAAAAACTACAATAAAAAAGAACATTTTAGTTGGCTTAACTTGTCACTTCAGTCTGAGAAATAAATACCCTTTATGTGAAATTCAGCTAGAGGCTCTGACTTTAAAACTTTCTTGGAAGGAGAATAAAAACAAACGATGAGACCCTGCTGCAACCCTGTCATGAGCAGGACTTTTTATGGGTGTCAGCAGTGACCAACGGAAAAAGAGCTGCTGCAGTCGGCACGAACACGCTGACCTCAGTCGACATATCATCCAGTCTGCCGGTTAGCTCAAACACCTTCTTCTCCCAGCTCTGATGACAAATGCTATTTATAGCACATTTCAGCTGTGTGATTACTGAGGTATACCTTTCACTGTACCCTTATCTACAATTTAAAGTTATTAAACCAGCCCCCATTTCCAGTCTTCATCACTGTGAACAAATGTTATTTCAGTCTTTAAAAACTGCCAGACCCTGACAGTCTGACAAACCAAGCATATCATTGAATACATATTTGAAAAGAAGAGAACAGGGAAAGCATTGTGATCATGTTACATCTCATTGATGCTGCAGGGTTTCAGAGGTTGATCCGGAAAATAGGTGCATTGAGACATTGTTGTACAGGCTGCAACATAGTCAATGTGCTTTTGATTAAACAGACTTTGAATGGTGGACATAACAAGGACATCTGTGCAAACCCCCCCACAGTATACGGCATGTGTGTGCATAAATACTTAGGTTAAGTTTCTGGAATTTCGAAGCGTAAACGTCCATTTGTAGAGTATGAGGTCAATAAATACAATTCCCAGCATGAAGAGCAAAAGACAAAATGTAATCTTCATGTCAGACATCAAAATATACTTATAGAGTCAAAGGGCCAGAGAGGGGGGGGGTTAAGACTGAAAATGTTTGTTTATTAACTGGCCTCATTTTGCAAAAAGTCGCCCCTGGTCAAAGCGAGTTGAGTACTGCATTAGAGGAAATGCCAGAGGATCGCTAAAGTCAGTGAGGTTCATCCTCTGGGGAACATGACTGTCTGTACAAAACTTTCTGGTAGAAGTTGTTGAGGAATTTCAGTCTAGACTAACTTAGTGGACAGATTTATTGATAGACTGATCTCGCTATCCCCAAAGCATGATGCTAACACTCCAACACTGAACAAGTCCTTATAAAACAGGTGTAACAATTAACTACATTTATTACAAGAAGTGATTTCTAAAGGGACTGAATGAAAACATAAATCTACATGTGATGTTGGATCCAGATCTCCATTTACTAAAATACTAACAAAGCATGTAGATAGTTACATATTTTATATGTGAGCCTTATATCTGTGTTTCTTTCTAAATTGACTCAACAAACAAGTAGCTGAACAAACAAGAGAGTCGTAAAGAGTCGCTCTCTGTGGATCCATAACCTCAGTCCTGTCTGTTGATTCATTATCTCAGCCCGAAGTCTCTAACAGGGAAACAAAAATAAGCAGGACGCCTTGGCTAAACAAAAGCATGGTGCTCATAAATCTACCAGAGGCCCCTCTGAGATCCTCCACCATCGAGGCAGCACAGCAGTACGGTTCCTATACTGGGTCTGGGGGTCACGGAGGAAAGGGAAAAGCATGACACACTGGAGCGGCGGGGAATCTGAACTCCTGCTGAGCTGCTGCAACCCATCATGGAGAATTTCCTGATTGTATATCTAACCTTTCAGCAATTTTGGCGACGACCTGCAGAGCGTAACATGCTTTTTGCCTGGGGAGTGCATGTTGGCCTTGTTACAGACTAAGCAGTTCAAAATGGAACAAAGAAAGAAAGAAAGAAAGCGACAAACATTTTATTTTGTATAACCCATGATCTTACAAAGTATTTATTGCTTATATATGTGGTGAAAGCATATTTCTGTCTGTCACTTTTTTTCAGGTAATAGCCTTGTCCCGAGTTTTGCAGAGCTGTTAAACAGAGGCTTATGTGTCTTTGAGGACTCGTAACATAAACTGGTTCCAGATACAGAGAACACACAGGTGTCAGTGGAGCTGTTACAACCATTTAAACCCTTTTTTTACGTGTATACAATAGTGTAGGGGCTTGTAGTGATATAAAAACATATTTTTGACAGATTTAGGAGCTGACATCCCTTGATTTGATGCAAAGGGAATAAAGATTATGGTAAGGTAGATTAAATAAATACAAGCATTGTTTACAAACAACGTATACAAAATGACCACTAATGAAAATGGTCAAGCGTGACTAGATATGATCAGATGTATAGTAATTTGCTTTTATGACTAGACGATAAAATACAAGCTGTGATGAATTATCAAAGTCAAATATGGTTGGGTATCATCTGGCTCTCATTGTCACAGGTGCTTAAATTCATGTTGACAGGGCCGAAGCAGAGAGATGTGCAGCTCTGTTTGAGGCACGGGTGAGATCTCTGATAATAATATACAAATAATATACAAGCAATGTGTGTTTTATTGTTATCATCAGCCATTCAAACAGATTCCTCTTATTCAGAGTGTTTGTTTTTACAGATGTTCTCTCCAATAAATAAAAAAAAATGTCCACATAACATAAGAAATGTCAAAAATAGAATATCAGGTATCTCTTCTGCTTCGATTTGACTGTGTGTAAATGTTCCCTTACAGGCCATATAACTTTAAAAGCGTTTTATAGTACCTTCTTGAAATACCCGTTTAGTCACTTAGAACAACTTAAATGATCTGTGCATGGATGTTCAATCTTGGCCTTTGGGAAGGATAAACTTAAATGGTAAACTGAAACCAGATAAGCTGAAAATAAAGCGGTGTGCCCATCCATCACTTCCGTTCCACTACTTCATCTCAATTACTGTACATCAACTGTCAGCTTTTGCTGTACAACACTCATCATTTAAAAAAATATATATACGTACATCAGAAGTGACACCTTTCAGGAAGATAATTTCAAACTTTCAAGATCTGATACTTGTCAGAATTATAATAATAATAATAATAAATTGTATTTTTATAAAGTTCCTACTCATCCAGTCATTGATGTGCGCAATGCACTTACTCAGCTGACAGGAAACTGCTCAAGATGTTCGGTCAGAAAAGGGAAATGATCTTATGAGTCATAACATCTGACAGAATGCAACAGTGCAAAGAATCAGGGAAATGTTTAAATAATACAACAAGTCACAGGGGCCTGAAGGACCTTGATAAAATACACAATGTCAAATACACAACATTTTACATACATTTTGCATTCAGCCAACAGGAGATCTCAGAATAATGAACACACCAAAAGCAGGTCTACAGCAGAAACATTCCATCATTTTCAGCATTATTAAAAATCTCGAGAAAAATTAGCTCCAACAATATCAAAATTCTGTACGTTCCCACTGGTCAGCCTCAATTCTTATTTATGTAAACATTTTTTGATTTGTTTATTATTGTTTGGTTGGGATGGGGAGGTAATTTGTAGGTCACAGAGCCAGAAAGTAGTGAGAAACACATTGCTGGTTTTGATCTTTTCATTGAATTCATTGTCTTATACTTGAGGTCCTTATCATGTCAGATAAATGCCTTTAAAACCTTCCAATTAACCCATAAGAACCCACCGTGACACAGATGTTACATGACATTTAAATGTTCTGGAAAGTTCCTTATACAGCTTTAGCCTTTATTTTATCTCATTAAGTCCCTAGGTGACACACAGTGAACAGTCTGGTGGGTCATGGGCCAGGTCATGTGATTTAGTGTTCCCATAACAACATGTCCAAGATGTCCATGTGCCAGGCTAACACGTGTGACAGAACTAGCTACATTTCAGAAGCTTGTTTTTTGTACTTGTCAGAAATGTGTTCTATGTGGTCTATTAAGTCTGTGCTCTATATTTCTTAAAATATATAGTTTTATTGAAATAATTCTCTGTGTTTTTAATTTTTTACTTTACTTTTATGTATGCACCACGACACCAAGTCAAATTCCTCGTACGTGTCAACCTACCTGGTAATAAACCTGTTTCTGAAGTCTAAATAATGTTCCCCATAATTTTCCCAACTTTGCATGGTTGGTAACCAAGCCACCTGAATACACATACTGATTAAAAAATGCATTCTTAATATAGACTGTGTGTGTGTGTGTGTGTGTGTGTGTGTGTGTGTGTGTGTGTGTGTGTGTGTGTGTGTGTGTGTGTGTGTGTGTGTGTGCATGTGTGTGTGTGCGTGTGTGTCTAGTACTCGTAGGCAGAGGTGCTCCTGGTGCTCTGGCTGCTGGTGCTCATGTGTCTCTTCAGACAGGGAATGTATTTAGCCATCAGCCTTCTGAAGTGGCTCTGGAACTTCTTTCCCACAAATGTGTAAAACACAGGACTAATGCAACAATACAGATAGGCTATGTTCCGGGTCACATACAGTTCATAGTCCAAGTTTTTCGAGTCGGAACAGTCTTCCTCCTTGCTGGTGACCTGAAGAGCTCGAAGGAAGATGACGATGTTGTAGGGTGTCCAGCAGGCAAAGAAGGTGAAGATTATGACAAATATGAGCTTGATGGTGTGACATTTCTCCTTCATGCGGGTAGACAAAATGCGGATGGTGATGGTAATGTAGCAGTACATCACCATGGTGAGAGGAAGGAGGAAGAAGAGCAGGCATTGTTGATAGTAAGTGACCAGCCGCCAGCGCTGCATGGTGCTCTCGGAGTATCCCGACTCATCACATGTCAGCCCATTAAATATACTCTTTCCCACATTTTGGAAAACCAGCTCTTTCACACTAGCTACAATACTGATGCACCAAACTGCTACTGACGCAGTAATGGCATATGCCTTCTTCCTGCTCTTGGCGGCTGCCACTGCATGCACCACTGCAAGGTATCGGTCAAATGTCATGAGTGTGAGGAATAGGATTGAGCTGTAGAAGCCGATGAAGTACGCACTGCTTACCATCTTACACAGAGCCACACCAAAGATCCACTCAGACAGATGGTATGTCGCCTGGAAGGGGAGACTGGAGGCAAATAGAAGGTTGGAGAGGACCAAATTCAGAAGGAAGATGTTTGTCACTGTGCTGAGGTTCTCAAACTTGTGGATGATAAAGAGAACAAGCCCGTTGCCAAGGTAACTCAGGAGGAAGATGGTGTAGTAGAAAACTGGGATGAGTTTTGCACCAAACTGGTTGACAGCCTGCTTGCCACAGAGCAGGAGAGTTTCATTATCATTATACAGATAGCTGGGATCAGTTGTGCTATTGGCGTCATACAATTCCTGAAACAGCTCATAGTTGTCATCATCGTTCATGGCTGGTTTTTGACCTGTGAGACATTAGGGAACCATGTTAGTCACTTTTCTGCAAGTTGAAGAAATTGCTAACAAGTCAATTGGTCTGATAAGTGGTCACATGGTCTGGCTGCTTGTTTAAAGGTCATGGAAGTTACATCTATTTCATGTTCATATTTCACCTGTAGAAATTAGAACGAGAAGATTTGGTGAACAAATAATGAGGATCCATACAACAGAAAAGTCAGAGAGTAACTACAGAGTAGTGTTATGAAACAGTTAAATGACTCTTGTGCGATCTGTCATTTTGTGTGGCATTCGTTTGTGTCTCTCAAAATAAAGAACAGGAACTGCTGACTGAGTAAAAAAGTCCACAGCTGGTGTGTAAGACTTGTTCTCTGAAATAAGTCATTGCCGCTGTACTAGGTTCCATACCTATTATAATGACCATCATACCTAATATTATAACCATTTGTATACATACAGCCTATGTTTCATACACTCCATCTCTGCTTTCTTGATTTCATTTTTAAAAACGTTTTTAAGAATAGTTTTTATATTTGGACACTTGGTCCTCACGGTTTAGTGTGGTAATTCCATAAAAAGCGACCTTTGCTAATCTAGGAAAATAAATGGGGCTAGAAGCTTGATGAGCACTAATGTCAGTTGGCAAACCTGTAGCTTGTTCACTTCATTCAACCTCTATTACATCATTTATTTTTAAACGTAGAACCCCACTATTTTATTTCACAAAGCCAGATGAACTACGTTGAGAGGGTGGATTTAAGGGTCTTGACGCAAGATGTTACCAAGCCATATTTAAGATCTATATATATAATAAGATTCAGGAAACAGCCGGGTTTTCACCGTCCTCTCTGCAGTTGTGCAATTTGGAGCTGATGTTAAGATCTTATTTCATTTGTGGTGTAGCACTCGAAAGCTCTTTTTTTAATTTCCTGTAAAAATGTTTGACATTTTATCAATTTATAATATTTATCACAAGGATAATTTATGTTGACAGATGATGACCATGTTTGTTTCTGTTGCTATAAGTGAGCCAGTGGCTTGCTTTTACTACTCCTGTGTAAATGTCTAAGTGGATGTCCGGTTGGCTTCACAGTAATTTACTTTGCACACTTTGTTTTTTTTAACAAATGCATCCATTCTGCACTGTGTATCTAGGAGCAGCTCATTTCCTGACTGATGACTGGTTACATCATCTTCAGTGCTTTTCAAATCGTTTTTAGCAATATTGCTGTTATTAATGTTGATGGTTTATCAATGAATAAATACTCATCAGGTTTTCTCGTTATAAGCGATTCAATATATATTTGACTTGTAAAAAAAATATATAATAGTGTTTTCCCAGTATCTATCGAGTGTATTGAGTTAAAGATTGTCCTCCTGATGTTGTCCTTTTAACTCAACTGTGTTTAAAAACTATAACTATTATTGATTAGATTATGAATTTTTTTCTCACCTTGATATATTTATCATATAAATACCATCATTATGCCAGTTTCAAACTAGAATTAACCAAAAATAAATAAGCATTCATACATTTCATAGCATAAGAAATTCAAAAATCAAGCAAACAACAATAGACTGTGGGTGTCACTGTAATATATGTATTACTCTTATATTTATATATATATATAAAAGAGTGAACTCACCTGTGCAGCGCTGTGGCGATGCAGAGAGCGGGGGGGGGTAGACTTCAGTGTATGCTGGACAAGACTGATCTCAGAGCTGGGTGACAGAGTGTCTCCTGAAGGGGCAGTCCTACATATGAGTCATGCTGTCTTGTTCCTTTTTCACAGCTTTCACATCATTTTCAATCAAATTTACATTTTTTTCCAGGCAGAGAAAACCCGGATTGAAGATTTAGGATCGACTTGAGATGAATCTCCAAAATGTATGACCTGTTGAGTAACAAGGCTTATTTGTACTTTACCACCAGTGATGGGGTCGTTACTCAAAAAAAGCAATATATTACTTTACTTCGTTACTCTCTACATAAAGTAACTCATTACATTACTTTTGCGTTACTCAGCAACAGCCTATAGCCAAAACGTAAAACTTAGGCCTACATGTGCACACATATAACAATTACTATTGCAATAAGGAAGACATAACACAAGTTAATAACGGTGAAAATTCTATTTTTTGCTGCTTGTTCGGAGCAGGCACACACTCAACATCATCACTCTGGGTTCAGGGGTCTTTAGCTTCGTGTTAGCATGTTGCCTTAGCAGGTGTTTGAAGAGGTGTCATGTTGTGTTTGCAGCAGAGCACCTTACCGTCACATTCCTGTCCTTTCTTCGGACAAATGTAAAATAATGGGCATAATGTAGTGGCAATTTCTTATATTACTTTATATGGTAAAACCAAATGCAACGCTTACAGTATATGATGAAAGCAGTTTTCATTGCTCGACCTGTTGTTCACCCAGATGCTTCCTGCCAAGGTTCAGTTCTTGTTCCTCAAAAGAGCATTGCACGAGAACAGTCAGCACAAAGTGTTATCTCTCTTTGTCTGCACATCAACAGTTACAGCAAAACCGCCAAGGTTCCTATAAAACTGTAATTAGTGTTTACCACTGATCTTGAAAAGAAAGGAGAACAAACTTTGTACATAGAAGTGTCTTGATCAAGCTTTTGTGGATCAAGCTCTTGCTTGAAATCTTATTCTAATTTTGAAAGGAACAAAAGAGATCTAGAATAAAAGCTGTATAACGTAATCACAATTTTTATAATAACAGCTTAATTTTGGTATGCATTTTTTGTGTTTTTCGTAGTTATTTTGTAGTGTTATGTTTTCTTTTTGTCTGAACAGTGGCAAAATATGAAGCGGTTGGCATTTATTGATAACATGTTTAAACCCCCGCTGCAGCATGCTGCAAAGGAGACACACGTTTATTATATGTTTTACAGACAGAAAGCCACAAGAGATATTTTAATGGCAGATTATAGTATTGGGTTTACATGAAATACAAATTGAGAGGTTAAAGTAAAGAAATGTGTTAACTGGGTTAACTGAATTTCAAAACAAGTTTTCTAAGGCATGAACGTGGTTACATCATTTCTTTGTAACTGAAGCAAGTACGGCATACGACAGCGAAACAGTCAAACAGTCACGACTACTGTAGTTTCCCATATTGAGAAATGCATTTTCATGCCAAGCGCAATATGAAAGACCACTCTCATGTCTGTAAGGTAAATCAGAAGACATAGACAGGAGCTGGTTGCTAAGCTTAGCATAAAGGGAAAACAGCTAGTCTGGCTTTGCGAAAAGGTAACAACATTCATTTTACAGCCCCTCTAAAGCTTAGTAATTACAATCCATACAAAAACAATACGTGTGCAGTTAGGATTTCATGGATATATCAAACTCACATTACACTTTATAGTCGTAAATGTAATGTTTGTGTTGGCAGATTTAACCAACACATAGTTCTTCATAGTGTTAATCAACAACTACGATCAATCGCACAACAACCACTTGACCCTTAACCCAAGAGCCAAGTCAAAACAAGCTAAACAACATCACAATGGAGCTTTAAAGTAAATTAAGTCTGCAGGTGCTCAATATATGATGAAGAGCCTGTTGTCATTAAACAATGGCCACATTCTTGGCCCTCCTTGTGGATGTGGAGGCGATGTCCAGGTTGACATTCTTCACCGTTTCCTCGAGGCATGCTGCGCTACCTTGAGGGCCTTGAAGAGCCCGCATATTTTCCAGGCGGCACATCCTCAGCAGCGATGCAGCCGAGATTCCAGCGGCTTAGAGGCAGCAGGTGTGAGGCCAAGGCGGACTTTCCAAGGATGTTAAGTCAATGGAAGACTCATTAATGTCCTTCCCCTAGCTCTGCAAACAAAAGGACAGGAATGCAGGAGGATGCCTGCCGACACGCCGCAGATGGAGGAGATACGGTGGTCTGAATAGGATCCTGATCACTGGTCAAAGATAGTTTACACTCTGGGGGCTCGCTGGGACTTTTTCAGCAGCTCTAATATAAATAAAACTGTAGGATAACACCTCACTGCAGGGCTTAAGGGATTCAGTGTTTGTCCCAAACAGACAATACAATAATTGAAAGGCATCCGGTCGTAACGGCTCCTCCATTTGACTTTGTGGTGAAAAAATTGAAAATCTATGAAAAGGATTTGAGGGGGGGACGTCATTGTTTATGAACAGGGTAAACTTTAAGAGAACAAAGAGCAGTCAGCAGAAAATATGTAACATATTATTACTACTTTCAGTGACCGTTGTGTGCTTCAACCACTTTTTAAATATCGTCATGGTGATTTCTGAAGATGGGCTTGAGAGCTGAAATTGCACATAATTGCTCTATCTCAGCTTGAGTGAATTTTCAAAAGGCTTAAAGTGCAGGGAACAAACAAGGAAGCTCTCAAACAGACAGTAAGAAGCCGTTTTTGGCGAGCAACACATGAGTTCTTAAAGTATGATCATTTTGATTGAACAACGGATTATTTACCTGCTGGCCTGAAAAAAAGACTAAACTAATATTTCTGCTTTTTCAGAAAGTGTAACAGTATGGACAGTTATTTAACAAAATGACTTTGTATAAATCTCAAATACTGTATACAAAGAGACTGACTCAATACTTCTTTTTTGGATACTGCGCTGTTCAAGCAGACTGAAAGACAACATGTTTTTTCAGAGGTCAAACAAACCGCAGCTATGCAAATGAATGAAATTGGACTGACTTTCAGGGAGAAGTTTGAGTCAAATAGATGTTATGGGCCATTTAAAAACTATAAGTGCAAATTGCAAAAAGTCAGAGGAATGTTGAAATATCACAATAATTAAAACGTGTCTATGCTTGGCTGAGAGTAAGAGGCAGCAAAGGGCAATAGAAACAGAATTAAATGGGACGTAATTGATGACGTAAACGAAGCATGTAACTTTATCGCTGCTGAAAGGTGGACAATAGCAACAGATTGTGTCTCCTCATCGCTTCGCACAGGTCTTATGTAACATTGGTGCTGTTTTTAGTTGAATTTGCCCTACCTTCGGCTTATCTCGATTAAATGACTCCTGATAACTGCATAACATTAGTGGATTGACACAAAATAAAAATAAATGTATGACAACATAATGTAGTTAAACTGTGAGACTAACTGGGATGGAAACCAGGCAATCGTAATCATTATGAATGATTTAGTAGCTCAACTTAACAGTCATAAAATGTCCAAACTGTTTAAATGTAGTAAGGTATCAGAGTCACTGCACAATACCAGCTCATTATTCTGCATATGAAGATATTCTTTTAACAAGAACACTTTATTGTCCTTATTCGTGTCCTTTCTAATAACTAGAGTAGAGAGAAATAATGGCGTAAGAAAGGATAACCTAAAAGGCTCTGATAACAAACAGCTTGTATCAGTGTCAGTGAATTATTAGTTGTTAGTAAATGCGGTGTATGCAAGCTCTCTTCTCCCTTGATCATTTACTTAAAGATTGCTTTGTACATTCACTTGCTTATACAAGACACAATAATAAACACTGCAAACAAATGAACCGATCCATTTCAGCCGTGTTGTCTTGACACAGAGTATTTCTGCAAGAACAAACATCCACCTTTACACCGGTCACCATGGCCACTGGAGCCTCAGCTGGCTTGTCAAGGTGTTTTAATGGGGCCTGCTGATGGATGACTCCATTACTGTACCACAGCATGCTGTGTCACCTCCAGCTGCACACAGCACTGGCGCACTCCCCCCCCGGCCGAGGAAGTCGTCTTATTGTTGTTTCCACTGGAGGAAATGAATTTAAAAACAACAAACAAACAAACAAACAAACAAAAATATCTTCAGCAGAAATACTTCCTTATGATAAGAGAAGCGCTTGATTACAGCGAGCAACCGGGATATGAGGCAAGTTGTTGAACACAGTGACGACGAGGCCTACTTCCTGCTGGAGATGGCCTGTCAGGATGCTGAAACTCCAGACCACAGAAACCAGCCTGTAAAGGGGTCAGGCAGCTGCTCTTTTCACTGAATTGCTAAAGCAGAGCAGAAAGAAAAAAAAAAATGGAGAATTGACTGAGGTAAAGCCGCCACAACAAACAAGGCTTGGCCCAGATCAAGGTGCTCCCCCATCGATGTCCTGCACGCTATCTGTACCACATTAGTCAAGCTTGAAAAGCCCCCCACAAGATCGCTGAAGATGGACGAGCAGCAGGGAGGCAGATGAAATGCAGGTAGAGAAGAAAGGAAACAGACTGAAAGTTAAAACTCTTCTGCTCTGCTTCGAGACAAATGCCAAGACTTTTTGTCTACATGCAGCCACATGGGCCTGATCACTAATAAATCCCAGGTGTTCACGTCTGGGAGGTGTTAAATCTGAAGGGTCCTGCCCTCTGTTGCCTCGGGCCGTGCTGAGCTGTACGGGGCTGAGACCCCAGAGACATGACCGCACTGTCACACAAGATCAGATGTTGCATTTGTTCATGTTGCTTGAAATTCAACGTATGGGTCTCATTTGTTTTACTCAAAAGATATGTTTTGCCGTGGTCTTTGTAGTTCTTTGAATCTTGTGAAGTGTGTGTGTTCAGTGTGTGAGTGTGTGTTGCCGCCTGTGAACTTGCTGAGGGGCATTCACTCTCAGATTGATACAGCACCACAGCCTTAGCACCAGGGGTCCTCTGAAAAAGGGTGATAAAAGTTTTACTGGTTTACGATACATTTTTCACTGACAGAAAACTTGGATTGTGCCAGTTTGTGAGGTCTGGCAAAGGCAT